GTGATGAAAAGTTTTTGAGTTGTGTGTAATATTATTTTATTTGGAGAATGTGTGGTTGAAATGAAGAATGAGAATGAGAATGGGAATGAGAATGAGAAATTAATGGGTGCCAAACGGGGGCTATTTAAAATATATTCTTTTCTCAATAATATACATCAAACACGCCCTAATTCTATTACAGTTGAATAGTTCCTCTTCTATTGATCTTATTAGGCAGGGACAGATCCAGAACCGGATTAGGGGACGAACTAATATGTAAAAAAAAAAAATATGACACAAGAAATTTTTTTTTAGGCATAACTTAGCTCCCGTTTGCCCTTATTATTTGTCATTATTTGAAATTATAATTCTTGAAATAGCATTTTTTTGAAAAAATGAATGTGTGATTAAAAAATAAGAAAGATTTTTTGATTTATGTATAATATTATTTTATTGGAGATTGTATAACTGATAAGAAGAGAAAAAAAAATTATAATTTTAATGGATTCAAACGTTAGCTTAGTACTCTTATGTCTATGCTCCATGTAAATTGTCTCTACATTTAAAAAAAAAAAAGAGAGAGAGAGAGAGAGAGAAAATGATTTACGAATTATTATGACAACCGACAAGAAGAAGATCTAATAAACTTCTTTATGGGGCGGTGCTGTATGTAATTAGAGGAGGAAAAGTTGATTTTGTTTGGTGTAGATTATAATCAAATTAAAATTTTAAGTGAAAATTAACAAATGATTTCAATTGTTATGGAATTTTTCAACTTTTTAACTATATATTTCATCACTATTTAGAGTAAAATTCACCAATGGTCATCCATCTTTATACTTAGTATTATTATGACCACCAAATTTGAATTTATTTCACCGTGACTATCTAACTTTATATTTAGTGTCACCATGACCATCCAATTTATTTTATTCCACCATTGTCATCCAATTTCATATAAAATTTCAACAATGGCCGCCTAATTCATATAATATTTCACCATGACCATCACTTATTTTCACAATTTTCATTAATTTTAAAATGGGTAAAACAATAATATATTTAAAAAAAATTTAAAATAAAAACTTATTAAAAAAAATAAAATAAAAACTTAATTTAAAATAAAGTTACTTAGAAAAATAAAACAAAATAAAGACTTATTTAAAGAAAG